ACGTAGATTGCCACCCCCCCCCCCGTTTGCATTTCAGGGATGCCAGAGGCTGTGACGCCTCTTAGAGCTGACACCTCCTCACCTGACTCCCCTCTGGGAGGGCTTGGATTGCCTCCTCCCAAACAAGCCAGGTCTGGGCCCTAAAAACCATCCATGGGGGCCAGGATTTTCCCTGTTGAGTGAGGATTCCCCTGGCCTGGCAAACTTGATCCTTTGTGCCTGTGAGGGAGGAAAGGATTAGGAGGGTGGGGAGTTTGAACTCTGAACCCAAGGCAGGCAGGGGCCAGGGTGCTAGGACCCTTGGACTCTGCCTAGGGCCGCTCTAAGGGCTGAAGTTTTCCCTGGGCCTTCGGGTAGGTGGGCGGGGCCTCCTCTCAGGCCAGGCTCCAGTTTCCATGGAAACTCACAGGCTTTCCACCCGGCGCTGCCTGGGCAGGCTCCCAGCCAGGGCCTTGTCTGCCGCCAGCCTCTCTCGGACTACAGGCCACTCCAGCCTTGTCCTCAACTGGCCCCTCCCTGTGTCTGTTCCTATTTCTGAGCCTTTGGCTTCTGATGCCTTCTTCAGGAACCTGGGCCTCGTACTCCATCCCTAAACTTTACTTCTCAGCAAACCAACCTTCCAAGCTCCTGCCCCTCCCTGTCAGGCCTAAGTCTCTTCACCAGCACTAGGGCCTTGCCGGGCCTCCCTGGCCACTCCATCCGCTTTCTCCCCCTGCCCCACCCTGCCCATGGAGACCCCAGGACTGGTTGTGCGTGGGGAGGCTGTGCCCTTTTCCACAGCACTCCGAAGCCTCATCAACAACCCCCAATACAGGTGAGGATGTCTGTGGGTTTTCTCTAGCTGGCTCTGCTGGGCCTGAGGACTCTGAGGAGGCCCTGGATGAAGAAGAGGCCGGGAATTAGAATGTGGTCCTCCTCCCTGGTGAACTCGGTCTGTGGGGAAGTCATGTGTAGAGGATGCCCCTGGCTCCTCAGTGTCCATGATATCCTGAGAGGCAGAGATGAGGGGCAGTAGAGGCTAGAGCTGCTGGGCAAGCTTAGGCAAAGCCCTTCCTTCTCTGGGTCTTGAGCTCCCTGCAGATGAGGAAAGAGCCCTAAGCCCCCAGGATCCTAAGAGATGGGATGTAACTTGATCTCCCTCCCCAACGCTCCGTTTGGTGTTGGGACCTCCCTCCTTGAAGAGGTAGAGGACACATGAACTGTTCTGGGAACTGGGAATTCACATGAGGAACTAAGCTCAAAAGATTGAGCCAGAGTTCCAGACAAGAATTAGCTCAACAGTGCTGACCACTCACTGCTTGCCCAGGATGCTAGTGGTGTCTGAAACTAGGGATAGAGTTTACAGGGGGCAGGGCTGGTCAGGAGAACTAGAATGCAGCTTTCTGTTCCCACTGTCTCAGATCTGGGCTCCTCCCCAAGAGTTGGTGACTCCCATAACCCTGCTTTTTTGGGATCACAGTCTGGCCTGTAAAATGGGAACCCCAGGACTTGGACCTGGGGCTAGGAGGCTCCAGGAAGCCAAAGTTTCATCTCCTGCCTCCTATTCCAAACCTTGTTCAGAGGCCCAGCGGCTGGGGGCCGGAAGTGATCATGAGGATGGAAAATGTGGTCTGGCCTTATGATGGTGCATCACTGTTGTGTCTGTTTGCAGTCAATGCTCACCCTGCACCGCACACCCCCACACCATCCTGCCTAGAGGAGGGCTGAAAAAAGCTGAGTTTGCAGCTACTGGAGGAGGAGCCAAGAGGAGATTTTCTGCCCCCAAGACTCAGGCTAGGGAGGAGAGGGATGGTTAGGATCAATCTTGCTTGCAGCAGCCTTGGTGACCCCTAAGTGATCAAACATAGTCACCTCCTCTGAGACCTGAGCTTTAGGATTACCGTCCCATTTCATGGGTGAGAAACCTGAGATCCAAAGATAGGAAGTCACTTGCCTGTGGTACCATAGGGTGGAGCTGGTACTAGAACTCAGGCCTGTGTGTCTCAGGCCTTCTATGGGAAGGACTAAGCCCTATGTCTTACAGATAAGAAAACTAAGGCCCAGAGTAGGCAAAGGCAAAGCTCAAGTTGAACTCTAGACTCTGGCCTCCTTTCCCCTGGCTCTCTGCCCCTCTCTCCCACAGTGATGTTCGCTTTGTAGTCGGTCAAGAACAGCAAGAAGTATTTGCCCATCGGTGCTTGTTGGCCTGCAGATGCAACTTTTTCCAGCGACTTCTGGGAGCAGAGCCGGGCCCTGGTGTGCCTAGTCCTGTCGTGCTAAGCACCATTCCAGCTGAGGCCTTCCTGGCGGTGCTGGAGTTCCTCTATACGAACAGTGTCAAGCTGCACCGCCACTCTGTGAGCCTACTGAGCAGGGGCCTGGGTGGGAAAGGCTAGGGGTGCAAGAGGCAGTTGTTTGCCCATCACACTGTGGGCTGAGGGCAGGGGAAACTCCCTTCTGCTCCCCAACTACCCACTCGGCAGGTGCTGGAGGTGCTGACAGCGGCTGTGGAGTACGGGCTGGAGGAACTGCGAGAGGTGGGTTTTTGTGCCAGGCTCATCTCATTTCCCTTGCTTCTCATGGGTTCAGTTCACACCCTGCTTCACACTCACTCTGGCCTGGAGAGGAACGTGTGCCCACACAGAGAGAAGTATGGGTATCTCTCCATGTAAGTAGGGTGTGTGTGTGTGGCTGTGTGCAAAAGGATCCATGCATGCCCTGTGTGTGCTGTGGGGGCCTAGGAGGTGTTTATGGCTGGTGCTGTTTATACAAGGATAAGACCCTTGATTCCTGTTCTCCAGAGAGGAGATAGACACATGAAAACATTTAACTGGGTGGCGTAAGAAGTGTGAGAGATGAGGGTAATCGGGGCTGAGACTGTACGGAGGGCCTCTCTAGTCCTGCCACCAGGGAGAGGAAACTTCCTGGAGGAGGAAACATGTTGCTTTGCCTCCCACGGATTTATCACCCCTTTTCCCCTGGGTGATGGAGCCGCCAAAGATTACTCAAAGCCCATCTCTTCTGA